CCCCCTCAAAAACAACAACAACAACAACAACACAAAACAAAACAAAAAATATCAACACAGTTTACGCTACAGACAAACCTTCCCTATCGGTCAACTGTGTCCAAGACAGTCACATGAAGATCTACAACAGATTGAAACAAACTCGCAGTTTCTCCTAAGCAATGAGTGGCCGTCTTGGACAATTTCCACTGTGTTTGACAGGGGGACTGCTTGAGATAAGCTTGAGCTAAGCTTGAGATAAACTAATGTGATAAGTAAATGAGATCAGATTGAGATAAGCTTGAGATCAGCTTGCAATAAGCTAATGAGATACTATATCCACGGACACTCCATTAAAAGAAAATTTCAATAAGAGAATCTAACTCGCCTCTTCTGCATGCATGACAAGGGAAAGATAATGAAGTAACTAAAAAAACGAAACACATTTTCTTTCAAAGCAAACAAACAAAAGCAAACAAACAGTCAGTCAAAATAAGACAAAGGTACACACATTTTCAAAGCAAACAGACAAGTAAGTCAAAATAAGACAAAGGTACACACATTTTCTTTCAAAGCAAACAAACAGTCAATCAGAACAAGACAAAGGTACACACATTTTCTTTTAAAGCAAATAATCAGTCAGTCAAAACAAGACATTTTCTTTCAAAGCAAACAAACTGTCGGTCAAAGCAAGACAAAGGTACACACATTTTCTTTCAAAGCGAACAAACAGTCATTCAAAACAAGACAAAGAAGACAAAGGTACACACATTTTCTTTCAAAGCGAACAAACAGTCATTCAAAACAAGACAAAGAAGACAAAGGTACACACATTTTCTTTCAAAGCGAACAAACTCAAAACAAGACAAAGGTACACACATTTTCTTTCAAAGCGAACAAACAGTCAATCAAAACAAGACAAAGGTACTCACGACCTGCGACCTCCACCATGGCGTCAAAACCCGCGGGTATCTCCACTCTCCCGTCTTCTTCCCTGACGAGCGGCACCAGAAACTCCACCCTCGATACATTGCACGGCTTCCGGTTTCCGCTTCCGCCGGAGCCTTCAGGACTTCCGGAACCGCTGGAGTTCTCGCCCTTGGACGTTGTCTGCTGATTCCTGCCACACATCGAGCAACCCCGGAAGTTGACTGTCTGCTTGGAGTGGCCGTCTGCGCGGTGAATGAGCGAGGGTCGGATCGAGCAAGAATATTGCTGGTGTCTTACTTACTTGTCTTACTTGTCTACTGTGTTGGGGTCACTGCAGTCAGAACATGTCCATCTCTGCTCTCTCTCTCTCCCTCTCTCTCTCTCTCTCTCTCTC